CTGTAAAGCAAATACTTCAAAACATTAGCACCCATATATATAAACTTCTACATCAGTATAAGGGTAGGTACGGATAGGGATTGGAGTTAAGACTCTTAAAAATATGGTTCAGAGTTTATTCTTTGCAAAGTTCCAAGTTTTAATGTACTAAAAAAATGTACACAACTATTCTCAAACTGTCGAACAAATATTACATACCATTCTCAAATATTAATGTGAAGCACAATCTGAGAGCAAAACAACATTCTGCGATACTATAGAGTAAAAAGAGTTATTTAAAAAGATTTAGAAACTACAAAATAGCATTCGAATATAGAAAAAGAACATTCTTACATGACAATAACTCTAGGTCTCAACGACCAAAGATCAGTATGTTAACTTACCTCTAAATGCAAACCTTGAATTTTTTTGTAATTGTAAAGAGCTCCAATATTGAACTGTTCGAAAACCTGAACTAAGTTTATTGAGTAATACAAATAATTGAACTTACACAACATAATTCTTTTCAAATAATAGTTCTAGCATTTCTGTAGAAAAATTTCATACCCTAACAATATTGCATTGCAAAATAAATTTGTACATCTACCCAGGCCACTTCAGAAACCTCACAGAGGATTTAAACTGGCAAAATGGGAGCTAAACTATTGGCTTTGACAGTAAAATAGACAACTTATATTGGAATTTACAGGGTATAGAGAATTGATAGTACAGGTTAGTGTTTAGTTGGATTTTCTCATCTTTATTAAGATCCCGAATCGAGCTTGGACCCTATGAAAATTCAATGACTAGCACTTTAAAATCCTTTACTATATATCAATTTTGAACTTTAAATTCATGTAAATCATCTAAATAGTTTAGAATTCATCATTCTAAGAATCACCCATTTTGTATTCAAATGGAATTAAGTGTAACCAACTAAAGAAACTATATAATTAAATGTACAGATTAATACTTCGTATATGAATCCTAGAATTACATAGAATCGGTTTTTAAATGTTGTGTATATTCGATGAATATGAGAGAGGTCTGTGTAGATCCAAGTAAATGAATATTTCAATGAAAACAGTTCAATTTAGACACGTATTCTCCCACGAAAATAAAAAGTCAACTTATACCAAATTAAAGCGCTACAATTAGTTCGTTTTAAAACAAATCCGATGAATCACCGGGTCCGCAAGACATGTAATAGGTATAAGCGAATAAGCTAGCTAATAGTGAAGTCTCGAAGTCATCCTTGAAATAAACGTCTTAAACAGTCCAATAAATATTCTTATTAGATAATTGTATACAATAAAGCACCCTTAGGATAACAAGTACTTGTTACGGAGTATCTTGCAAGTGTTCTATAGGCCTCTTTTTGTCCTTTATGTTCAATAAATACTCATTTTTCTAGTTATGTGTGTATCTTTCAAAAAAACAATCTGCCCACTTTTATGAAACAAACGAATCATATTATAAGAAATTCTCAAGTGTAATATGTTGGAAGTTAACACACCTTTGGGCGATCAGATTATTAAATTACACTTTGTTTACATAGTTCACCATCTGATATGTCTAGTTCATTTGATAAGTCTAGTTCATCTTCAAATCCATTTGCATTCCTCTTCTTCTTTGATTGAAAGATCTTCCAAATCCATTAGATTGAGATGTATCTCTTTTTCTGATTCTACCTGCACAAGTAAATGAAAGAACGCTTAGATCGGAAAGTAAGAATAAAAACGCAAAGATTATCTACGCCTTGTTTCAAGTTTATATAGTTCACAATTTCAAAAGACCCATAATTTTCTTTGTCTTATTCTCTAAGGGTTACGGAAATGAAAATAATAGGGAGAAATTTTTACATATTAATTGAACGAACCAGAAACTTTGATACATCGTCTTCAATAAATCTTAGTGTCCCCGAGTTCCAGTGCTCAAGGAGAACATGTAAGGATACTTGGTGACCTATGTAAGGTATATTCAACGTGATTCATTGTTTTTATTCAGAATGTGCTTTGTAAAGTCTGCATGAAATACATATCTCAAACATACTGAAAGTGTTAAACGCACCTCGCAAACATAAAAAAGATAGAAAGAAAAAGAAATAACATATTTAAACACATTAAAGATAACTAAAAAACGAATTTGATCTCATTTAGTTGAAAAATTGACTAAGGTTTTTCTACAAACAGTTTATAGGCATTACAAAACTAAGAATTTAAGGGAAAAAATTATTCGTGCTTTATCACAAATTAAAGGTAATCCAACAAACCCTATAAAAAAATATACATGAATCGAACATCAATAATAATAAAAAGTTAAATACGGAGTATTTAGTTTGTAAGAGAAGCATGTGTACCTAAATAGGGTGGAAGGAAGGTGTTGGGCGAGGTCATGGGTGATGGAGATGGGGCAACTACATGTTTTAGTACACTTGCAGTGACGAATGCTGATGGAGGAACTGAGAGAGCTGCAAGAGCTCAGAGCGGCGGAGTAGCAAAAATGGTAACCGATTCAACTTTACTTTCGTGGAGATAGATCGAGCATCTGTATGTTTTAGAACACCTACCCTGCAGCGAGAATATGTTGATGGAGGAGTGGCGAGATCTGGTAGAGGAGCCGGAAGCGGTGGAGCGGCGGAAAAAGTTGCCGATTCAATCGTGGAGTATAACATCTGCTTGGATCTCTAGCGGGGGATTACGGAAGTGGAGATGCAAAAATATTGTGTTCTGGATGCTGAAGAGAAAAATAAAGTGTTTTGTAGGTTTTACATTTTGTTGTTTTGGAGTTTGCCTTAGTTTTTTCATTCCGATTTGAAAAACCTAATAAATTTTGTTTTGCTTGAAATTTTAATAAGATTTGGCACTCTCGGATCCCGCTGCCGCTTTTCATTTCCGTTCAATTGAAATGGTTATATGACATTTGTGTTATAATAGGGTTAAACTAATGTAACACTTCTTGAAAAATGTAACAGTTCATAAAAAAGTACAAAAGTGTTACTTTAAGATCATATCAAATGCAACAGTATATTAAAAACCATTACAATAGATTGTTTTTTGTAACATTTTCAACAAATGTTACAATTTTAATGTTACATAAGTTCAGAAAATGTTGTAGTGAATAACTAATATGACACGTAGAGAAACATAATGTGATGACAAATCACAAAATTATTAAATCGATCTGTACCTGAAATGTATCCAAATCTATGCTTCATTTGACATTCAACAACTACTTTAAAGTTTAAACCAGCTTTTCCATGTGCAAGTTGAAAAGACTGATGTATATATATCCAAGTCATACATACATACATACATACATACATACATACATACATACATACATACATACATACATACATACATACATACATACATACATACATACATATATATATATAGCAGTTTGCAATGGTAGATCCCTATGTAGGTTTATACAAAGAGCTTTATGCAAAGAGCTTTATCACTACGATAGCATACAATTTGCGTACTCTCTGTATTTGGACAACATAAGACTGGATCTACATACTAATCTACTTGAAGTGGAATTACTACATATAACTAAAATTTACTATTGATGATAGAAAAGTTTTAGCTAAATAATATGACTTATTGGCAGTCTGGTATGCTTATCAAAGAGGAAATTTCATTCAAGCCTGACCAACAGAATGCAAGAGTAAACACTAAATCTAAAAAAAACTCATACCTTTCAAGTTAATTAGCATATATAGCTTGTGAGACTCGATATTATATTAATTAGAATCTTACAAATAATAAACTCATCCGTAGTGAAAACGTGAGATTTTGGAGCTCTATTTGATTTTGTGTTTCAACCTGCAAATAATATGAACTTCGAAAAACAAAAACTTGATGATAAACCATAGTACTATTAAGGCTATGAGAATCGCTATTGCAGCCAAATAAGTGCTTCATTTTACATTGGGAAACTCACCTGGGCAAACCTCCACTAACAGATATAGTTGACAATTTGACATATATAGTTTCTCCAGGAGACTTCATAGGACATGCAAATGCAATATTTTTAAAGCCCACTAGATATGAACTACAACTAAAGCTCTGTCAGTGCTGAGATGAAATAAACCATTAGTGGCTTACAAAGAACCTCAATTCTGCTACCTCAGCTATTATATTAAAGATAATATAAACATTTTAAAATTTTCCAAGGGAAAGACCCTCACAAAAAAACAATTATTCAGGATCCACGAACCACTAAACCAAAAAGAAAAGATCCAGAGCAGTTAGAAGGATATTTAGAAAACATAGCAAGTAAATAAAAACATAGAGAAAGCCTTCTTCATTGTCGTGCTCATTTCTATCTGCCCAGCAGTAGTCATAGTCAAAACTAAGCATTCACAGTACAATCAGGGGAAAACGAGTCTCACCTAAAAGGGTCAAATGGAAATCACTTGAAATAACATTAAAGCTAAAGATTATATTATCTGCCCAGCAGTAGTCATAGTCAAAACTAAGCACTCCTAATGGAGGATAGAAGTAAAGATCTTACTTATTTGGAAGATGCTTTTCTGGAGTAGTCTTATGTTTCCTGTTTCAATGGCCTGAACATTATTTCCTTGTTTGTAAGCTAGTTTTGCGATTTCTTATTCTTATTTCAACATTAGCTATTCTTAATGCTTATTCTTATTTCAACATTAGCAATCAGCGATTTGTATGGCGAGATAAGTTTGTTGCTAAAAAAGCACTTGCTTGACTTTTCACTATTCCAATATGGGGTTTGACAACCTTAAATCAAATGATTATCTATTTAGAGGCCGTTTGGAACCACTTTTTTTTTTCAATTTATCAGTCTTATCAGCCAACTTTTTTACTATACGCATAATTTTTACTTTCGCGCACTGAATTGTGTCATAAGCTGAAAAAGTAAGGTTAGAGTTACTTTTGTAGCGCACTAAATTCACAACCCGATATTCTAACTCCTTAATTATATAATTCGCCCCGTCTAACCCTATAAGAATATAATTCGGCCTCTTGCATTCCCACTAGGTATATACGAGTCCATTGGCATCGGAATAGACAGATTCGGAATCGATGAATACAAGGAGTACGGGGAAGGCGAAATCCAAGGACGGTGGTGAAGATGTGAAGTCGAAGGCTCTGCGGAGGAGGACGGGCACGAAGATTTTCAAGGAATCTGTGATCAAACATCGGTGAGTTCAATTTCTAGATCTTTTTATTGAGTTGTGGTTGCTCGATTTCTCCTGCAACCCATTGTTTACTTGTTTTATTTGCAATTTCAATCCCTCTCTCTCTCTCTCTCTCTCTCTCTTTCTCTCTCAGTTATCGATCGTGTTTGCCTTCTCCGAAATTTGATCTTTATAATTAATGATTTTGACGACTGGAGCAGGGGCAGGGGCAGAGGAAGGGGAAAGGGCAGCGCCACCGGAAGACTAGGCCCTCCTCGCTCACTCGTATATATCGGTAATGGATGGGCTGGTTATAAGACACATCAGTGTGCATTGGCTGCGCTATCACGCATCAATGAGGAACAACAGGTTAGTTTAATTTGATTAGTGTTCGGGCAGTCCTGAAATGCATTTGGTGTGTGTGTCTAAGACCCCATTCCCCTTGTGATTTCACTATGCAGGGTCCGAAATACAAGCTTGTTGAGCCACTAGAGTGTATCAACTGCCCATCTGTATTTTATCACACCTTCCTCTATCATTGCAACTTTGTTGCTAGGCCTGAAAATGGAAGTGCTGCTGATGATACGCTCTTTTTTGCGGAATTGGAGGGGAAACAAGAGAAGCTTGGCGGCCAAATCACTCTCACCCTCCTTTTCTGGCGCATTTTAGGGCCCTGTGATTCTGAGGGTGACTGTGAAAATTGTGGAGCTCTTCCAGGTTGGGTCAAACATCCTAAACGCGACGGGTTCCACAAGTTTGTTGAGCCTGGTGCCGTTTTATGGTGATGGATACCGCCTACCTCGGGCAGGCTATGAATCAAATGACGGTAGCAATTCCCAACTCTCTGGAAAATACTCTGATTAATGCTTGTTAATGCCAATACACGGGTGTAGTTTTTAATTCAGGGAATAAGAACACAATGCTCCTATTTTGGAATTCCTAAACGTTTTTACTCCTATTTTGGAATTCCTAAACGTTTTTACTCCTATTTTGGAAGTTTTCCCGTTCTTTTAATCTTAGTTTTTCACATTTACAATCAATTGAAATATACCTTGAAACATGTCAAGAGCTTTAATCTTACTTAAACCTGTTTTTGAATAGAGAAATAATACATCTAGAAGATGTTCTCAACTTCATCAGTATATGTATAAGCATTTGAATAAATTTCCAATTGTTGTGGTTAATGTATTGAGCATATACTTAGTTGCCAACGTTTTTACGTGCAGCCATGAACATTTGATCAGTACTTCGGATATGGTTTGGATCTATACTTCGAATAGCTGATCAACTGCACTTCCAGTTCAGAGAAGCTTGATGAACATTTGATCAGTACTTCAGTAACTTTTATGACACCATCTAAATTAAAGAGCCCATACAATAGGCCGTTTGTCAGCTCTTAAATTTGATTCTAATGTAAATAATGCTACAGAAACGTTACTGAGCAGCTGTATGGCTTGGGTATCTTGAATGCCGTTGTTAAAGCTTTTCTGAATACTCCGTATTAATTGAACCTTGTGTGGGCTATTTTACACCGTAGAGTCACCCAAGTAATTACTTTTACTATTTTACCAAATTTCCAGAATCACAGTGGGAATGCTTTCGTCATAATTTCTTTTCTTATTATTTTAGAGTATAACCAAGTCGCAGGCTCTATTGTTTTTTTCAATTTCCTGATTTGCAACTCATACACTTGAATAAGAGCAACACAAAATTTCAATCCAAGGATGACCACCACCTCCACCTCTCATAAAGCATAATCCTATAACGAATTTGCATTGCCTCATTTTTCCTACTATCACATCTTTGTCCTTTTTTCTTCATTGACTATTTATTGAAGTGTTTGGCTTCCAATATTTTTTGCCATCTCACTCAAGGGAACCTTGCATAACTTTTAAGTTTAATGATTTACCATCAAGTGTCTTTCAATTAAATAAATTGCTTGCATTGATTCTCAGCAACAACCTTCTATGTTCATATCTATGGCTTCACCCATTTATCCATTCTCAGATTTTGCTTTCAATTAAAGAAATCTTATGGAATACGGATTTAATGGAAGGGTACTTTTTAAACAAAATAGTTAGCCGTGACATTTTTAACTAAAAATAAGGGGACGTGCTCCATGATATATCGTAAAAGAGTATATTTGTTCTTTAATCCTTTTGAGAACTATCAAGCCCATTTATTCTGTTTTAGAAGAACAATAACAGGTTTGAACATATTTTCAATCAGATTGCTATGAGAAGAAAACCAACTAGACCTCCCAATAAAAAAGATCCAGTTTTACGGTTTTATAACGGAAATCGGATTGTCCATTAACTAATTATTTAGCTCTTGTTTGAACATTGAGAAATCGTGTGACATTTGGTAATAGTTGGATAACATATCTTCTAAAGTAATACAAATACAATCTCATACTTTAGTCCTACTGGAGAGAATTTTAAAAGTAGTATAAAGTACTGAAATTAAACATAAATAACATAAATACGGTTACAGTAATCTTAAAAATTAAAAAGTTACACATATCTTCTAAAGTAATACAAATACAATCTCATACTTTAGTCCTACTGGAGAGAATTTTAAAAGTAGTATAAAGTACTGAAATTAAACATAAATAACATAAATACGGTTACAGTAATCTTAAAAATTAAAAAGTTACACATATCTTCTAAAGTAATACAAATACAATCTCATACTTTAGTCCTACTGGAGAGAATTTAAAAAGTAGTATAAAGTACTGAAATTAGACATTGCTTCAAATAAATTTAGTAATTTAGTCCTAGCTCTTTTCTTCTTGGATTTCTTTCTTGTTGCTTCCCCCTAGTTTGCTGGTTGTGAGATCTCCTTCCACCCACCTTGTCTCTCTACTAGTTCACATACGCGCGTTGCGCAATGAGAAAATGCCCAATATAACATTGATCGTATAAATTAAAACCAGAAGTGGTCGAACGGTAGTTTAGAAAGACGGAAGAGAGAGGAGCGGCGAAGGGAAACCCTAGCCGCCTCCTACTCTTCTTTTCTTCTTTTCTTCTCTTCTTTTGACTTCAATCATGGAAAAGCTTCGTTTAATCAGTATTTTCAATTCTATCTATACGTTTATTTCCTAGCGTTGTCTAGAGATATTATTTTCGGTGGTGAAGTGCCGCTCACCAGATCTATATCCCCCGCCATTATCGGTCGGGTGTTCTTGTGTGCTAGTAAGAGGTTTTTATTGGCTTCTTTATCAATCATGAATCAAGATTTCTTCTGCATCAATATAGAGGCCGATCGCCCCCTCCTGAACCACCGCCGATACATGAAGATGACATTGGATGGATTGCTTTCTTTCCAGTGGCTAGTCAAACCGGAACAATTTATGCACTTGGCTCCTTACTGGTGGCTGGAAAAACCGGCAAGTTCAATAACTCCTTTTCGGTGGCTGGTCAAGCCGAACTCATTTTGAGTAGCATGAGGAGTCACAATGTGGTACGAGTCTACATTGTTGCAGGGTTAGCGAACATGAGTGTTTTTATATGGCATTTTTGTTCTTTGTCTCACCCTAGTGTGGTATTGAACACTATGATTGTAATGCTTTGACTTTTAGTTGTTATGTTTCTTGTTAAGATCTGATTATCAATAAAATGGTTATTTGATTTTAAAAAAAAACATTCATCGTAAACTGTTTAGACTTATTGGTAATTTGGTAGTTATGGTTTATTTGTGTGCATTTGCAGTTTGCACGCATAAGCTTCTTTAGATTGGAGATTATAGTGTATGAAACGTAATGGATTAGTATGTCAGAGTTATTGAAGAGTCTTCCAAATGTGATCTAATATTTTAGATAGTGATATCGTGACAATTTTCTACGATTTTATACTGTCACCAACCCCGACGAAACATAATGGATTAGTATGTCAAAGTTATTGAAGAGTTCCAAATTAATAATCTTATATTAATTTCGATATCACATAATATCCCGAGATTTTATTGATCCCTTGTATTAACCACCCATTACCGGGGTCTCAATATTTCTCTCAATTCATTCAAGTTTAATTCATTCAATTTACATATTTTTTCAAAGAAAATCAAACTCTATGAAATAAGAATGATACAAATAATACAACGATCTTTTAGGATCAACTTATAGAATCAACTTATAGATGAAACTTATAGAATCAACTTGTTAAAAAACCTAGCGTGAAATCTCAGTGTAAAAAAATCTTTTAGGAACTATCAAACTAAAAAAATGACATTGTGCAATTAATACAACGATATTGTTATATACCTGTAGTAAAACTTATTTTTAAAATCATTCGTCATGGAATAGATTATCATTATATTATTGGGATGTTTAAAATTAAGAAAGAGTAGATATTAAATTTTGCATTAGAATAGCAAATTCGATTGTTATTTTGGTAAAGTATCAGAAAAAATTGGATAATGTTGAACAAACAAACACAAGACTATCGAGGATATTAAATTGATCCGATTGGACATGCATTATATATCACATAGGGAGTTCATAAACAATCTTTCTTTTAAACAACATACCACGCAATCATCTTAATTTGCATTATCATGAGTTTATTTATGATGTAAAATAACTAAAAAGTATGGAAAAATAACTCTGATCTAATTTATTTATATTCTTTTAGCTCAAAATGACAGTGATGATCCTGCTTGATTTGTTTGGGATGTTAACTTCAGACATCAGTGACTCCAAGTCTTCAATTATTCGCCCTCTTCTTGAACCACTATTGTGCTATGAGAGATAACATGTGATTGGATTTTCTTTTCAGTGGCTGGTCAAACCGATGATATTTACAATTTTTTCGCAGTAGCTGCTCAAACTGAGGATTCTAGTTGTTTCTTTCTGGTGGCTGGACAAACCATATTTTCTGTTATTTCCTTGTTGTTGGATGGTGAAACCGATTTATATGTTTGTTTTCTATCGCAAATAAGTACTACATCTAGTATTGATTATTAGTTAAGTAGCAAGAGCTTCTATGTTGATAGAGTAGTCCACATATTTGCGGGGTTAGCGAATTGTTATGTTATTTGAGAACTATTTAGTACTATGTCTCATCTCATTGTAGCCTTAGGCTAGCAGGATTAGTTTTGCACTGATCATTTTTATTATTAATAAATAGTCGTTTTTCTTTAAAAAAAACTTGACCATATTTTATTAATTATATAAATAATACCTAATGTATGACCAAAATTAGGATAAAATACAAAAATGTGAATTAATTGCATTTAATTACTACCGAGTATAATTTTGTTCAATTCTTACATCACAATGATATGTAAAGGTACACTTATAATAACTTTAGTCATATAAGTTTTTCTTTAGTAATATTTTAAGAAAACACTTCCATAAAAACTACTAAAATATTTTTAAACTCATTTTTACCTTAAACAATTTTTAAACTAATTGTTTTACCGTACTAATTTTTTTGCTTAAGAGTGGCGTAGCTAGGGCGGTATACTGGACTTGGCTAGTGTATTTTTTTAAAAATTACACTAATTAAAATTAAAATTAAAATTTGGGATGGGTTGGGGCCTAGGTTACCCCCGCCACGCCCATGCTTGAATATGCATGTACATGAAAATTGATATCACATTTTATATTGTCATCATATTATTAAATTAAACTCTAGCGCTTCCCCAACGTAATGAAAAGGCAAAAAAAGAAAATGGTAGTGTGGGGGAATCAGTCATTGAAATCCTAAGTCATTCATAGTGTATAATTAAATCATTTGGATATAAAAAATAATCAAAGAAAGTAATGGAAATTTCTACACATTAACATTCTCAATGAATTAAGGGATAAAAGAGGATTAATTGCTGAAAGAAATAAAAACTAACCCTAAATCTAAACACAATCAATCAAAAGCATTGCTCCCCAAACATAATTAAAACATGAGAAAATACATATTGCCTCCGTCACTAAAACTTTGTCATCTTTGAGTTTTTCGGTTAATCAATTTCCACTTTGACCAATTATATATTTAATAGAAATTTATTAATAATATAAAAAGGATATCAAAATATTCTTTGTAAAAAATACATTCATAAAGGTATAAATTCTTTAACTTTCCAAATACTTTACTAATCAAAATCATGGTCTAAACTTTATCACTCATTGATTAGAAAAGTCAAAGATGGTAATTCAAAGATTTAATGGACAGAGGTAGTAGTAAAGGAGAATAGTCATTTTAAAAAAATGGGTGGTTGATAGCCATAACTAAATCAAGTGAACAAATTTTTAAAAAGTAGTGCCCTTACACGGAGGATACACAAACGTGCACCTACCCATATACTCCGTATGATACATTTGTTAATTAAAGACATTCGATTACAGGTATGCATATATTAGAATGTAAAATCAAATGATAATTTAACTTAATATTAAACGGAAATTTATGCAACTGAAGGTGAACGGTGATAGAGTTAGGGGAAGGAAGCTCTCGACTCGTTAACTTAACAGAGCAGACTTCTTAATATAACGGATCAATTCAGAAACATGGGAAAATGAAAGGAGAGTACAAATTGTAAAGTGTAATGTACCGTCACCAGTTGCTACAAAGTTTCACCAACACATTTTTCATACTTAAAAGGTCCTAACC